GCAAAGCTCCTCTGAGGCTGTGCTTCAGGTGGCAGGGTGGTGAGGGTCAGGGCGCAGGCTCTGTATACTGAAGCATTAGAGGGGAGATATAATGTGCCAGGGAGCATAGCATAGCCCAGGCATTAGTAAGCGCCTGAACACCCAGGAGGAAGAAGGATGCCTGAATCAAACCTCTAAATGACCCAGAACCTTTATACCTTGAACCCAGTCTGTCCCAGCAGCCTTAGAGAGGCACTGGTCTGAACATGTCTGTCTATGGATCTGCCTTCTACTCCAGATCAGTTGATTCTGGAGGGAAAGAGCCATGTCATGCCTGGTTTTTTGTTTTTTATCAAGTGTGGGAATGTGACAGATTAGTTCAGAAATTGAGTTTTTGATCCAAGGGGGTTAAAGGAAAGACAGTCCTGGGACTTTTTCTAAAATTTTTTTAAAGGATTAGTAAGCTGGCATAATATGTTAGGAGCCACTGGAGACCATCTTGGTTACCATAGAGGGAGAACCTGCTTGAGAATGATATCAGCCCAGAGGAAAGCAGAACTGAGAGACAGAGATACATGTCCAATGACACCTGGATCCAGCCATCCCTGAAGCCAGAACAGAACTGTTTAGTTGTGTGAGTTGTTTCTTAAGTTAGGTTTTTCTTGAATTGGGTTTCAGTCTCTTACAACCAAAATAGCCTAGATGAATGTGGTCTCCCCTCCCCAACACTTTTATTATTATTTTTAAAGTCTTGATTATTAGATGGCACCTACGAAAATGTCTCCTGGCCCAGTAGAAGGGGAGGGCATCACAGGAAGGAAACCTAGGAGGGGAGAAAGGAGCCTGAGTTCTGGGAAGACTCGGCCTCTAACTGAAACGTAGGGGAAAGGTGCAAAACGTGCCTCTGAGAGATTTTGCCTTTTCTGGAGCAGGCACATCTGAGGTCCGATCTGAGGTCTACCTTGGAGGAGCCCTGTTTCCCTTGCCTGTAAAATGAGGAGACAAACATCATTGTGAAGATTTAATGAGCAAATGGGTGAAAATTGGGGTTTCTTGTGCTTGATAAATGTGGGTTCATTTTTCTTACTCCACGGCTCCTGAAACAGCGTGACTGAGCCAGGCTGTTCTAGCAAGTGGGAGT